TGCATTGGCTCGTTTAGTTTACACTCGAAGTAGATTGGTCTCTCTAAGCGAGATCCCAATTCGTCGGTCATCGGACGTGACGTTGAGAGTGACCGACTGAAAGGGAACATTATTGTTTCAAATAAATGCTCTTTGAACTTTCTACTCATCAAAGAATCCTGAAAAAAATGGTTTCCACAAAAAATATTAAGCAACACAACTGCTTTCAACACTGATGATGATAAGAAATGCTTCTCAAGCACCGAATCAGCATATTAAAATGATTTCTGAAAGATCATGTGACACTAAAGACTGGAGTAATGCGTGTTGAAAATTCAGCTTTGCCATCATATGAATAAATTGTTTAATAATATACTGAAATAGAAAACAATTATTTTAAACTGGAATATTTCACAATACTACTGTTTTTACTGTATCAAACATAAGAGACTAATTTCAAAAACAACCCCAAACTTTGTAATGGTAGTGTATATATATTGATCATATTTTAGTATATTATAGTAAGATTTTTTGCCAGTCTTTATATTTATTTCATAGAATTTTTAAAACCATAAACTGGTTTCCAAATATAGCCACACTGTTACCTAGTGAGTTCGCCTAAGGTGCCAATACAATTTGTTAACTAGGTCACCAATTACATTACCTTTGTATCGCTGACAAGCTTATGGCTGAAATCACAAAGAGCAAAAAACACAATGAGAGTATTCAGTGCAAGTTTAAGACATGCCAAAGGAAGGTATGATGAAGACAGTGTTTACCAAACGAGAAGTCAAGATTAATCTGAAGGTAACTTCTCTGATTTCACTCTTTGTTGATTTTAGCTGTGATCTTTATGACATTACTCATCAGTGAACTTCTCTGTGAGTTCACACATGAAGCCATATGTCTATGAGAGCTCATATTTCGCCCTCCATCATAATGCAGAATAAATGCATGCGCACATAGCACAAACAAAGCATCAGTGATTGCAATTCTACATCATTTGAAGGCAGGCCTAGGGATAGCGATTGCACATTCCAGCTAAATAAATGCAGACGTTTG